TGATCCATTTCATAGCGCTAGAAATTGTAGTCATCGATCTCCTAATCCCCAACCAAACTTTAATCTTTGCCCATGTGCATGAAGATAAAGAGCACTGAAAAAATAGATGCTATCCAGTTTCTGTATGTGACCCATAAAAAACACAATTCCTATCAATGTTTCTCTTGGGCACTCGACCATAAAATAAAGGAGTCTTTTGGAGTAATAAAAGGGCCTCCAAACCTCCTTAGTCCACACCTTGTTCTCCCCTTTGGCCGAAAAAATTCATAGACAGCAGGGACCGAAAACTGCCGAGCCCCGTTACAGTTCACCAGTGAGTCGATGGAATTTGTTACTAATATGGAAGGTTGAAAAGATTTGTGCAAAAAAAGGTCATAGGAATAAGAGTGCATAACGCCAAAAGTTGAGTAACTCATTTAGAAAACGTGGAATGGGAAAATTTAAGACGATCCCCGGGTGAGCAAGAAATAGCTCTATCAATTTTTCTAGTCCGTCCTCACAACCAGGGAGCAATTCTGTGTGCATCACAAATGGCTTCCAGAACTGCCCAAAGAGGTAAGCTTTCGTCAATAGTCAGAAACCATCCAAAACCTGAGCACATAACACAAATTCAAACCCCAATCCCACTTGAAAAAATCAACACTAATGATTCATTAATCTCCCTTTATCAGATGCTCCAAATGCAACCCTCCCCACCTATCTCTTCATTCAACAAATTGCTAGGGGCTGCTGCCAAAACCAAGAATTATCAAGATGCGATTTTTATGTACCATAGGATGGTTGAAGCCGAGTTATTGCCTGATATTATTACGCAGAATATTTTGGTTAATTGCTACTGTAGCTGGAAAATGACTGCTCTTGGTTTTGCTGTTATGGGTGGGATTTTCAAGAGGGGATATAGTCCAAATATTAATACTTTTACTTCATTGATTAAAGGGTTGTGTATGGAAGATAAGATTGACTCTGCAATTGTGTTGTTCCTTAAAATTATTGAAATGGGGTTTCTGCCAAGTGTTATGATATGGAATATTTTGATTAATGGGTTATGTAAGAGTGGAAAAGCAGAGGTAGCTCTTCAGTTGCAAAAAGAAGCCGAGAATGGAATGTCTTATTTAAGATTTAAGCCTGATATAATTAGTTATAACACACTTATTCATGGCCTTTGTAAAGAGGGGTTGTTGGAGAATGTTAAACAATTATTGTTGGACATGAAGGGTAACGGAATTCTGCCAAACTTGGTTTTGTATGGTGGTTTAATTCATGGTTTGTGTGAAGGCGGTGAATGGGAGGAGGCAAAGAGGTTCTTCATTGAAATGGTGGATCAAGGCATTCGTCCAGACTTAATTTTGTTTAATATGCTGATACAAGCACTCTGTAAGGACAGGAAGACCGCCAAAGCGACTGGATTGTTGACCTTGAT